AGATGGTAGGTTCGAACCCTGGTCGCGACTGACCTAAGTCGATAAAAAAAAGTAGGTAGCAACTGTTCCTTCGCCAAGCGTTCGGGCACTTTGAAGTGAAAGTTGCGGGTCCTTCAGATGAGACCTTAAAAACCGAGACCCCGTGTCACGACAGGCGTAGGTACGATAAAGATCCCTCACTGCTTAATGGCCCTAAGCACCAAGTTAAGGTCTAAATTTGAAGCCCTTCACCGGTTTATGGTGACGTCTCTATATGAGCGAAAAATTCTCGAACGGGACGTTAAACAACATACAATCAATCAATCAATCAATCTGGGAGGTTGAGTATATAAAGTTGTAATAAACGAAGGTATTTTAACCAGATTTTTGAAATTATGACCACTTGGTCAATTTATTAATTTGTATTCTACTGGGAGAAGTTATCGGTATTCCCCTTTGCTATTTACCTATGATAATCAGTAATTGAATTGTCAATTGAGTAGCAGAATTATGCAAGAATTATTAGAATATTTAATATGAAAAGTACTTTCATAGATTTTAATGACCAGGTAGACTTGTAAATGATAGATAAATAAAAAAAACGAGACAAAATACTTTATCTTTGTACATTGAAATTAATATTCTTTAAAGACTAAGAGAGGCTATAAGGAAGAAAAAGAAATAAGATAGGTTAACTTAAAAAGCTCGAGCTCAAAACTATTGTTTTGTATATTCCGCACTGGGATAGTGAAAATTGGGGTGAAGTAAAGGCAAATAAATAGATCAACTTTAAGATTTATTTCTGGGCACTAAATTAAGTATTTTGCTGATCATTGATCATTCTTTTTCTTTCGCTTTTGGGCAACATAGTTTCATTTATCAGCTTATTTGGTTTATTTTATATTCAATCTATGGATCCTTTACAGTGTTACATTATACTCATGTGACCGTTGTAGCCCTTGGACTTCTTAATTCTTGCGCAGTGTATAAAGTCTACAGATAGAAGAGAGCGACTTTGACCCTGATTTATAGAGCAGTCACGTATAGTGTCTACTAAATGCTGGTCATGCAATGATATTGAGATAAAGAAGGTATTTAACATAAAAAAGACTCGCATTCTCTATGTTCGTATCCTAGAAGATCCTAAGACACAATGATCAAGATATTTGAAATTCTTTGCTTCGTTGGATTTATTTCTGTGATGGCTCACCCATACTACAGGGATAGAATTCCAAATGGGTATGCAGTGAGCAACCCATGTGGAAGTGGTTTTTGGGAGGCTGTGGGACATTATGACCCCCTTCATCACACACATGACAAAAATCCATTTGGCCTGGTAATATTTGCTATGTAGTAGTGAATTAAAATGCTGTTGAGATTCTTTCATAACCTGAATAATTCTTTTTTTTTCAAATTCAAGTACAAAAAATCTGGCTGATTGTGTAAGAATTATCTTCATCGGCTTGCATCTTAAAATAAATAAAATTTGGACATGAAAAGAATTAATTTCATGAAGAATTTAATATGGGCCGGTCAAAATTTATCGTTCAAAGCCGGTCCGGTGAAAATACACGAGGACAAGGACTTTTTCATGTCTTTAAATAATGGAGCTTTGACTGATTTTTTTCCAGTTAATGAGCATGGGGCATCAACTTAATTTTTCAATGAAAAAAGATAAATCAAAGAAAAGAATTATTCAAAACAACAAACTAGGAAAACTATTACACACAAAAATTTACAATTTATCTATTTAATAAGTATATAAAACTATCCATGATAACTTCTCAGTTCTGTTGCAGATTACCGTTTACTGTACTCATTTGATGATTTAAAAAAATAATAATGAAAAATCATTGTATTATCTTGTTTAATGAATTTACCTTGTTATTATTAGACAAGTATTTCTTGTTTATATGCTAGAGTTCTGTAGCTTGCAGTTTGACCCCTTGTCTATGCAATGTACTACTTAAAGAATATGATTTTTATGATCCACATAAGATATACATTGTATAGGACAATCTCTGTGGTAGATAATACACACTTACATATAATATTGTATTTACAGTTTATGCTAATAATATATATATCTACATATATTTTCAATGCATACATCCCTAACAAGAAAAACTATTGTTAAGTATAGTTTTCCTTAGTTAACTATAGTTTACTATAGTATCAAATTTTTACTAAAGAAAATCAAAGTATTTTTAGTATGGATTTCTGATTGTTATATGTTATGTTCACCAGTTCATACATGCACAGTTTTTTTAATCATAAATGAAGGTATTACTTGTATATTCACATATTATTTCCAAATATTACATCACTGTTATCAAACGTAAGAGATTTAAAGCTGTGAAATCTCAAAAAGGTTCCAAATTTAAGTGTCATAGTTAATCAAAGTATTTACTATAGTTAACTATAGTGAACTATAGTTAACTCTAGCAATTTTTTTTGTTAGGGAATTTACATGTACATGTTGTAGACTAATGCTCTTTCAGGCTTATCAAAGTTGTAAATTGTCAGTATGAATGGATTACATAAACTGTGTTGTTGAAAATTATAGAAAATTAAGGTTAAAAGCATATTTGAAGCTTGTAAATAGCAGGGGACATCAACTTTTTTACAGGGTAGAGCTCTAGTATGGGACCAATAATTTTTACCAAACATGTTAGCAGGGGGTCGTAAGATATCTAGTTTGCAACGGTCCCGTGCCTCAAAAAAATTTTGACTGGTCCCTTACTGGTTTCTTCAAATGTTCGTAGGATTATTTATAATTTCGTTAAAAGTATAATACAGAACTTTTCATCTAGATAGAGGAAATGCATTTATAATGATTCTCAATAATCATAATTATTTGGTGTAGGCCTTCGCCGCCGCTGGACATCAGTGGACTGTGGACCTTTGTAACGCAGACTCAGATGGTGATGGTGTGTCCAACGGCGCTGAGTTGGGTGACCCCAATTGTACATGGACAGCAGGAGACACCCCGGAGGGTAAATCAACCGGACAACCAGGTACTTTGAAAAAAAAACATTGAAATGTTCTCTTTTATTCAATTAAGCTGGTATTCAGATAAGGTGGGCATATCGAATTAATCAGGATATGTCTAGCGTAGTTTAAAGGTTTTAAAAATGCACATCTTTGATTTAGGACCTTAAAAGAAAAGGATTTGATATTTGTGTTTGCTATGTAATCTTTTTATGTAATAGTTTCATATATAAAAATTCGAGAAAAAAAACCGAAAGAGATTTATCGTGAACCGGTGTTGTAGAGTAGGATTTCCTACAAAGCCATTCCTCCCCGGAATCTGCACTCTAGAGACATTATGAGCATTAAAAATATGTTTCTGTTCCAGCTTATATGTACAAAGCTTGTAATAAGATAGTCTTCGTAAGGCTCATATTACACTCTTTAACTATGAAAGGAGAAGAATTTCTCCCAGGATAATTGAATCCCGAGTCGGATGTCCTTATGGAACACCCTAGTGCCATTTTTCCTTATGTATGTGTATGTGTGTGTGTGTGGGGGGGGGGATTACTCTAGAGCCAGATTTCGAGGGGAAATATTTTAGAAGGGACAAACTCTAGAAGACCGGTAAGAACAGGAATCGTTTCACGAATACATAATTCTTTTCCAAAGCCCGATTTTTCAACAACTGAGGATTAATTATAGTTTTCACGCTTTATGTTTTAGGAATCTGTGAGCCCGTTGGTTCCGGGGCGTGTTCTTCCATTGCTTTCTACTGTGGTTGCCATGGACATGCCTGCATTGGTTAATAAAAGTTTTTTTTATTGTTTTAAACCTAGTTTATTATTACTGAATAAGAAAGACATCTATATTATATACAGTACTTGAAATCCATATATGTAGGTATCAATACACCATTTCCAGGAGATGCATACTATCATATATTATATAATGATATTATTACAGCAGCGGTCGCGGTCGCGGAAACCTAGTGGTAGGAAATCCCGCGCTCGATTGTCGTTCCCGGCGTCTCGTCAAACCAAAGACGTTTAACAAAATTAGTGACTGTTTCTTCGCCAAGTGCCTGGCACTAAAAGTGAAAGCAACGGGTCTTTCGGATGAAACCTTAAAAATAGACGTCCCGTGTCAGGTAGCACGTGGCACGGTAAAGATCCTTCACTTACAGCTATAGCTGTAAGGGTCATGCATAGGTTAAAATTCGTGACACTCCAACTAAAACAAGTGACGTCTATGAGTGAAGAAATCTCGAATTAGACATTAAACAGCATACAATCAATCAATCAATATTACATATATTAAGATGTGCATAGAAAAGGGATTTTCCAAAACAAACAAATTAAACAAAGCTCTTTCATTTTACTGCAATGCATCGAAACCTTTAAACTTAACTTAAATCCTTTCGAGTTCCTTCCAACAAAGTGGTGTTATGACAAAAACCTGGATAAATATAAAGTTCTATTATTCCTCACTGTCTTTCTCTCACTCTGTTTGTTCCATAAAGTTTTTGCTTGATTAACTATAACTTTGTACACACGAACAGAAATTCTTTTGTTCTCATTAAGCAATTACTAAACATACTCTTTAGCTGAAGTTTACCATTTAGTAAATAGAAAGTTTTGATTAGCTTGTATTCTACCTTTCTATTCACTGAAGCCAATTGCACTTAATGAATTTTGCTCATCGTTATTTGCGGATTTAATTACATAAAACCCCCTGTCCCACGATATCATTTCGTTTGCTATCCCTTTTTAATATTAATATGTTGTCTTGTAGTTTCCTGTATTTTTCCATGTGTACATGTATCTCTGAAAGAACGTTAAGCAAATCGTACGAACAAAACTTTGGTCCATTATTGCTCATGTACTTTCAAGTTTTACACAAGTCACTTTTAGAACTCCTGACGACTTTGACCCTGTACTATAGCAAAGTCATGTCTCACAAACGAACTCGTGAACTTCCATTGAGATAAGCGTAACGTATTCCATATATATGTCTGAAAAAAAGAGAAGTGAATGTACCAAGATTTCACAATGATTAAGATAGTCCTCTGCTTTATTGGAGCTATTTCTGTGAGTGCTCATCCATACTACAGGGACATCATTCCGAATGGGTACGCAGTGCACAACCCATGTGGCGGTGGCTTTTGGGAGGCTGTTGGACATTTCAACGCCCTTCATCATACTCATGACAAAAACCCTTTTGGATTAGTAAGATTTTTTTTATCAAATGCTTCTGGAAAGTTAAGTATACTAGGGTGCTCTCTATATTACAATGTATTTTATTTAGTTGGAAGCTTTTTTTATCAAATAAACAAAACCTTGACTCATAAATGAGAAATTAAAGCAAAAAGAAAAAATCCATAGAAGTGATTTTATCGTCTTTTAATGAAATTAATTTTTGTAGTAAATATCAAGACAATATGACAAAGTTTCCAAGAGTTTGAGGTTCCTTACTCAGATTATTCATAGTTAAATTTACAATGGAAATAAAAGTCATTTCACTCCAGTATATACGAGTGTTGTCCATTAAATAGGTAGACAAATGCTTTACCACAATACCAGTTGTGTACATATTATTTTGTTAAAGACCATGATTTAATATATAAAAATTAAAAACAATACACACCATTAGTGTGTTCCCCGACGTCTACTGGACAAAACCAACATCTAATTATCACAATCAATTAAGGGGCCCTTTAAGGGGTACAGGTAGAGTTTACCTTTATGAACTAACTATACCTGCATTTATTGAAGGAGGAATTTTACAGCAACATTTTATTTTTTATTTTTATCTTTAAGGCATCTCCTTTGTAACATGGTTTCAGCATGGAAAGATTAATAAAAGATATTTATTATTTTACATGATTTTTCCCCCAGAGGAAATGTAAAAATCTTCTAAATTTTATCCATTGATTAGAATTTTTTTTAAAAATGCGTTAAAAAAATGTGTTCTATTTTCATAAATAATAAAAATAAAAAGCTTATTTGACTTTTCTTGGCATGTTTTATAAGATATTTATATTGTGCATTTATTTACAGCAAACTTTAAACTCTACAAAGGATCTTATCTGCAATTAAAAACAATCTTTTCATTTTCTCCTACAAAGGCCCTAAAAATTCATAAAAATTAATTGAAGTTAATATCAGTCTTTCCATACTTAAGCCATATTCCAGAAGAGATGTCTTAATGATCAGTGAAATAGAATTTCGGTGAACATCTAAGAAAAAATCTATCGATCATATGTCATTTTTCTTTTTTAATATATCTTATTAAATGAGTTAAATAAATTTTGCTTTAGATTCTTTATAATTTCATTTAGATTTAATCATGGTTTCAAAGCATTAATTTTAAATATCATGGCAATAAATAATTTCAAAATCTTTGTTGGTTTGCATCATAAAACTCGAATCTTAAAATAATTTATTTTGGTAAAAAAAATTACCAAGAAGCATAAGATACAATTATTTGGAAAAAAAAAACTTCTATTTTGAATCCCCCAATGAAATTGGATTTTAGACAATATTTTTAAAGGTAAATTGTCATCCCCCTTTCAAAAGCGATACTATGCGTCTGAACTTTGATGTAAATAAAAAGGTGCTAACATACAGATATATCTTCCAAACAAACAGGTAGCTATGGTTTAAACAGTGGGGGTAGGGGCAACCTCCCAAAGAAATCTGACAAGCAAATTTGAAATAATTTAAAAAAACCAGGAAAATCCTACTTTGTGTGTTTGTGTGTGGAGAGGGATGGACTTTCTCTAACTGTTTGTAATTTGTTTTCAAGTGCTGGAATTCGCCATCGCTCGACCTTACAACAACAAAAAGTAGGGGAAGGGCCAGCATCTAAATGAAAATTTACATATTAAATCTAGAGGAAAAGACTATACTCGGAAAAATGTGCCCCTCTTTCGTTCTATGAGCCTGCAAATGCGCTGTGAAAAAAAGTTCTCCATGTTTAATATAGATGAAACAAAGCTTTTAAAAATGTTAAAATGTGATGTACATGTAAGTAATGCTTTAAGTGCCAAGTGTTAGGTTAAAAAAGTAATGTTTGACAATAATTCATAAACATGCTATTTATTAATTTACGTGTCTTGTGCAGTAATGTTTCTTTTTCGAATTTTAAATGTATTTTAAATAAAAATATTTATTATATAAAAAAAAAATTTGTTTTATGCCTTCAATTATAGCAAGTATTTAATCAATAAATCTGTGCTTTAGTACACAAATTTATCAGTAAATGTTTTAAAAATTGTTTAATTTAGACTTTTTTACAAATCAAGGTAACACAGGTAAACTCCACCGGTACCTGGACCCCTTAGAGGGCCTCTTAATTGAGTGTGATTGATTGATTATTGTTGTTTTACGCCGAGTCGGCCATATTTCGGCGGTTAATTGCGTGTGATAGTTAAATAGTTGTGATAATTAAATAGTTGTTTTAGCGAGTAGACGTTCGGGTAATAAACCGCATAATTATACAATCTATTTATACTGTAATTTTCATATAATAGTATGAAAGTTTTTTTTTCAAGTCAAGTTCTTTATTTCTTTGCGTCATACGACACATCAGATTACATATATAAACATATATACAATATTGTAAAATATAACAATATGAGAGTGAGCCTAATCAATAAATAGCAAGTAAACTATGTAGGACGTGTTTTCTAACAGGCAACTGTAATTATAAAACACTAAAAATTTACAAATGTTTCATTCTTCTAGTGGAAGCTTGATATAAATATTTTCCAAGGTTACAAAGTTCCTAGTTATAGTATAAATAGATTGTATATGCAAGCCGCACGACCCACTCGGACGTTAAAGTACTTTGGTGATAAACATCAAAACTGTGGATTTTGAATTTTTATCTCATATTCGTAGACAGACCCTACTTTCTTTTTCTTTATCATGCCACATTACTAAATGTGTGCGATATTTTCATATAGTAAATAATTGAGTATTATTTTTAATTCAAAGCAGTATACGAGTATAAACACTTAGGAAACAGAGGCTGTACAGTCCAGTCAGACGTTGCGCTAGATCTCGTAACAACGTCATACATGTAAATACTTGATATCGCGATTACTAAAACGGAATGAAATATAAAGATAACGAATAGAATTCAATCTCAGAGGTCCATTCAAACAATACAAATTAGGAGTAGAGCAAACACAGACCTCTAAAACATCAAAGGTGGGATCAGGTACCATGGGGGAGTGAGCATCCTCTGCCGACCGGTCACACCAGCCTGTCTATATGTGCTATCCATGGGAAAAAATGCGTAGACAATTCAGTGTGTAAAGAATGGCCTAATAATATGAAAAAATCAGTCACCATTTGACTTAATGATAGGTTGTATTTGCTGACAATGTCATCGTATCGACCATAGGACTTGCGAAATGTTAACTTTAAATGAGACTGTTGATATTCTTGTTTCATAAACTTGTTTGTCGTATATACCAATTTCAAATCAATAAACTAAATATAGTCTAATAATTTCTAGTTGTTTGAATAATTAATTTGTCTCCGACGTTTCAACCACATTAAAATATTATACATATATTACATGGCTTCGAGGGCAACATACCAGAATATTTGCCCCCGAGGTGACAGGAAAGCCCTGGAGTGTTATGTCGCCCGATGCCGAAGGCAGAGGGCGACATAACACTCCAGGGCTTTCCTGTTACCGAGGGGCAAATATTCTGGTATTGTTGCCCGAGAAGTCATGTAATATATGGTATATAACATTTTTAAAAAATCAAAATCGGACATATTTATTGACGACTATATGTGGACCTGTGTAAATATCTAGAAAAAAAACATGCAAATTATTTTTTTAAATACATTTAGCTGATTGGTTACTAATAGTTTTGATAATAATGCTATGGAATATTAACACTATTGTTATTAAAATGATAACGGGGATGGCTGAAAGTTATGAAGGCCAATTTCTCTTCCTTTATAAATAATTCCGAAATATTCCGTCTTGTTTCATTGCAGAATGTTTTCAGCACGCTGACATTTGTGTTTATAAATTTTGTTGTATTTACGGAAATTTCTCCTCAATCAAACTATCTAGTTCCTTTGAATTTAAACGAACATAAAAAAAAGCAGACGTTGTCCAGACATTTTCATTTTCGCGGAACTGTTTACGTTTGCTTAGCAACTGCCTCTGTGAATTTCGAACCCGACTTAATTAATATGCAGAATGACTGCACGCGAGGGAATATAACGGTGTTCGGGAGGGCAATATAACTGTTTCCGGTGTAATATAACTATATCCGGCGTGATTCAGCAGTTTTTCAGGGCATATGGATAAAAATGTCATATTTGTGATATAATGGGAAAACTTCTTCAAAAATGTTATATAACTTAATGTTCCATTCGGAAGGCCGACGTCAATTTTTGAAACATATTTGCGTTTTTCCTTGAAATTTTGACTTTCTGTTCAATAAGCGACACTAAGGGCATCAGAAAATACCAATAACTGTTTTAATTAGGAAACATTTATTAATTTTAATTAAGATTTGCCTTGTTTTAAGAAGAAAATACTCATTTTAATTCGAAAACCTTATTTCAAAGCTTAAGACATTTTAACTCTGGGCCATGCGCAATATCTGCGACCTATAAAGACCTCGACTTTTAAAAAAATATTAAAGTTGCATAATGAGTCAAAACCATGTGTTTCTTTTAAGAAAATTGTATCACAAAACAAAAGATTTCTGTGAAATACGAATATAGCGAAGTTTTGACAATTCAACTGCACTGTAAAGCAAGAAAAAAACTGCATAATATAAGTGCCGGAAAAACAAATGTTGTATCTATCGCTTTGTCTTTATCGTCAATGTCAACAATTTCAAGGTCACGCGTCCTTTATTTTTAGCGTGAAACTTGTAAACAACATTGAATTGGGGCAAGCAGAAGTAAGGAATAAGTTATGATCATCTTTTTTGAAGATTATATCAAAATTCACAGTCATCCGACATTTATATCTATGGAATTGAAACCATGGTAAATTCATCAACTTTTCAGCGCATGCGTACAATAAAGAGGAAGAAGTGAAGCAATATTTTTGTGATGGGTTATACAAAGATTTTTTTTACTTTTATTTTTCTCCATTAAATTAGTTTTTATAGGTTCTGAAACCTGTAATTTTCTGAAACCTAATATCTTCAAGAACTGAACAAAATTTGCATTTGTCATGCAAAAATTCTACTGTTGTCAATTTTCCCGTTTGTCCGTCACAGTGTCACTTTAAGTTCAAACAACCAAAACCTGACTATTCTGCCTTGGATTTTCATAATAAATATTTTGGTATACAATAAGAATATCATGGACCATTTACTTTAACAAAAAAAATTATTTGTCCATCTTCGTGGACGACCCTCGTATACTTGCAATGATACGTTAAACAACGACTTTCTGGTGCAGGCCTTCGCCGCCGCTGGACATCAGTGGACGGTAGCCCTTTGTAACGCAGACTCAGATGGTGATGGTGTGTCCAACGGCGCTGAGTTAGGTGACCCCAATTGTACATGGACAGCAGGAGACACCCCGGAGGGTAAATCAACCGGACAACCAGGTACTTTGTAAAACATTGAATTATTCTCTTTTATTCAATTAAGCTAGTATACAGAAGGTAGGCATACGGATTTAATCATCAGATGTGTCAGCGCAGTATGAACATTTTATGCACATATTTGATCGCCTTAAAAGAAAAAGTTCCGATATTTACGTTTGCTTTTCAACCTTTCTAACTAACAGTTTGACATGTCCATATATAAAAATTCGAGGAAAACATCTTTTTCAAGAGATTTATCGTGAACCAGTGTTGTAAAGTCGGACTTCCCTCAAAACCACACAATCCCTATTCGCACACTAGAGCCAAATGTTCCCCTCTTCCTTTCGCGAGTAGGGTTTCCCACTACTTTATAAATTCTAAATTGTAAGGTTCAGGGCCATTATATATCACAGCGACAGTATTTTGGCTCGTAAGAAAGTCAACTCAACTGATTTTCTAACAAATTTTATGGGCAAAATTAATGGGTGATACACTGATCAATTTCAGTATGAATTCTGAAGATATATATTAGATAATGGAGTCAGTCCAAAATGTTATCTCTCAAAAGAAATTCAAAAAATCGGTCAGTCGTAAAACACTTAAGATTCGATGACTCAACACCTCTCGTGGTGCAGCAGTGCATGTATGAAATATGTATTACGAATTCTAATTTACATATTACACTACCTTTTAACAATTTATTTGTTTACCCTCTACCTACCAATAGTTTTTGGTATGTAAAAAAAGATTCTTTTTAAAGAGTGTGTGAGAAAACTGTAAACTTTATATCATTGCTTGATTCCACATCTATACCATCTTGAGATCATTTGAGTCGGGTAGATCTTCAATTGGTCGGGACAGCTAAGCACCCCCCCCCCCCCCAATTTAAAAGTCATGTTAGCAAAGAGAGACCGAGACCCATATTCAAGTTTTACTTTGCAATCAGGCCAAGTGTGCTTTTGGATAAATGAATAAGATTTTAGTTGGTAGAGGTGGTTGGTGCGATGCTGAGCAATATTACACTTCATACGTATTAAACAGAGTAGGATTTTCCCCAGGAAAATTGAATCTCGAGTCACATCTTTGGGAAATCCTGCTCTTATTTCATTTTTCCATGGGGAAAATCCTATATGTAGCCTATTTTCAGGGTTTGTCTTACTTTAAAGCGAGTTCTCGAGGTTAAAAGTTTTATAGAGGGATATACTACAATACCAGAAAGATCAGATATCATGTCATGAATACAAATAATCATTCTATTCTAAATCCCGATTAATTTTCTCATTTTATGTTTTAGGAATATGTGAGCCCATTGGTTCCGGGGCGTGTTCCTCCAGTGCTTTCTACTGCGGTTGTCATGGCCATTCATGTATTGGTTAAATTGTCTAATAAATATTTATTTTGTTTTTTAAACCTAGTTTTTTTCCTAAAAAGGAAAACGTTTTATATTAAGTAAAGTACTAGAAATCCATCTAATTCAATACATCAATGTAATTTATAAATACGAATGATTGCACCATTTCCAGGAGTCGTACACTTATTATTATTTTTACATACATGTGTGTTGTGTAGAGAAAAGAAATCTCCAAAATAAACCTGACTCCACCCTCCACACACACACTCACGCACACTCTCTCTCTCACACATACACACGAGAGAGAGAAAAGCTTGTTCTTTTTATTTTACTGCAATGCATTGAAACATTTGATTAAATTTCTTTCTTTTACATTCTTTCCAAGCAAGTAGTGTTGTGACAATATTCTGGCTAAATATATTAATTTCTTCTCATTCTCTCTCTCAGTCTTTTTATAATGTCCAGAGTTTTTGTTTGATTAATCATAACTTAGTACATCCGTATAGAAATAGTTATCTTATCAATAAGCAATTGCTGGACATACTTCTTGACTGAAGCATTTAGCAATAGAAAGTTTGGAGCCTATATTCTACTTTTCTGTTCACTGAATCCAATTGTACTTTTGCTCATTGTTTTTTCAGCTTTACTAGATAACATCCCCCCCCCACGATTCCATTTCGTTTGCTGCCCTTTAAAATTTTATACTAATACATGTATGAAGTTGTCTGTGTTTTTCCATGAGTACATGTATCTTTGAAAGAAGCTAAGACACATATTTACGGAGAATAAAATCTTTGGTCCATTATAGCTCATATACTCTCAACAGTTTTACACAAATTCTGACGACTTTGACCCTGGACAGCTATGTCTGATGTATGCCTCACAAATGGACTCGTGGACTTTAACTGAGATAAGCCTTACGTATTCTATATGACTTATTTCAATAACCTAATTCTTTCCGCTCTTCATTGAATTGAATGTTCCCATCGGCGTTAAACAATTGTCTAACCTTTTCAAAGCTGGCTCCATGATTGGCGGAGTCAAACCAAAGAAGTAAACAGATTTCATTCAAAGAGAAACTTCACATCTAAATTCCTGGCAGGGATATATATATTCAGGGATATATATATATATATCAATGCTAAATGTAATGGTAATCATTGCAATGCATTATTTGCAATTGAACTCAAAGTAATGCTAGTAATGTGTAATGCTCAAAAATTTGCATTACATGTAATGGTAATGTAATGCATTACTTTCTAAAATCCAGAGTAATGCTGGCATTTCATAGCATTACAAAGCATTATTGGGTATATATATCTATTTAAAAAAAAAAAAAAAAGAAAGAAAAAGAAACATGGAAAATATCGTACAGATTAAATAATTTTTTGAATGATAGAAATGAATTAAAAAGAGTTTTAAATTAATGTATTTGAATACATTATACATATATTCTGTTGAAAGAACAATTACCATACAATCAAATTTTCATTTTGATTTAGATTCTCATATAAATAACATATATTTTCAAAAAATATTTGAGTTTTAAGCAAATTTCTTGAAAAAAATAATTCTGGCATGAGGAACACTAATTAATGTACACTGTAAACAGTACACTGTAAATTGATAATTGCCACCTTTTGAATGGTGTGTCATCAAAACACTTGATGCCTGTAGGATTATGTAAAACAATGTATTGTTTTGAGAATCGCTCCTTCTCCTTACTGTATAAAATATGAAACATTAATTGAGCTGGTCTATCTTGAGCTGACCATGACAAATCCATTGCACTACCTAAAGGAACAGAAGACATGCATTCTCTTAGCAGAGCAAAATGTGCATACTTTCCAACCCTTTTTACAAGTTTGTCAATGCATTGAATTTTTTCATAAGTCACTAGATCCAATCAATCTATGTATTTAATTAAGATAGTGTTGGGGTAGAGTTAAAGTGCCCCAAAAGTTAAATTGCTTTATGACATCAATAGTTAAACAAAAAGTGTATGTTGTACATGTTTTTATCCTTTGGTAATTGAAAAGTTTGAATTCCTTATGAATAGAAAAAAGATAGATGTAAGATATTTACAGTGTAATAAATACAAATACTTGAAATCAAATATGAATTAACACATTTATCAAGTTTAGTTTTAAAGGGATGGGGTGCATGTTTATGAAAATAGTTGCACATCAGTCCGAGGCTCTGTTTTATGGAACACCATAGCTGCCTTATGTGGTTATTTCATGAGAAGAGGGTGCTTTATTATGTTATGCTGTGGTTATTTCATGTGAAGATGGTGCTTTATTATGTTATGCTGTGGTTATTTCATGTAAAGATGGTGCTTTATTATGTTATGCTGTGGTTATTTCATGTGAAGATGGTGCTTTATTATGTTATGCTGTGGTTATTTCATGTGAAGATGGTGCTTTATTATGTTATGCTGTGGTTATTTCATGTAAAGATGGTGCTTTATTATGTTATGCTGTGGTTATTTCATGTGAAGATGGTGCTTTATTATGTTATACTGTGGTTATTTCATGTGAAGACGGTGCTTTATTATGTTATGCTGTGGTTATTTCATGTGAAGGTTTTTTATATGAAGGTGGTTTTTTACGTGAAGGTGGTTTTTCATGTGATGGTGGTTTTTCATGTGAAGGTGGTTTTTCATGTGACGGTGGTTTTTTATGTGAAGGTGGTTTTTTATGTGACGGTGGTTTTTTATGTGAAGGTGGTTTTTCATGTGATGGTGGTTTTTTATGTGAAGGTGGTTTTTCATGTGATGGTGGTTTTTTATGTGAAGGTGGTTTTTCATGTGATGTTGTATTTTATGTGATGGTGGTTTTTCATGTGAAGGTGGTTTTTCATGTGATGGTGGTTTTTCATGTGAAGGTGTTTTTTTATTCAATGTGATTGTGGTCACTCGGAACTCCTAATATTTTTGAAGACTGAGTTTAACACTGAGCTTAACCGCTATTATCTTGAAACAAATAGTCAATATTATTAAAATCATTTTAATACGCCATTGCTAGTTTTTTTTTCCACAGGCGCTTGGTTTCAGGATGGTGTATTTTGTGTATAATATAATTTTTAGCTCTGTCTGAATAAACTCGTTTACATAAGAATAAAAAAAAATCACTGAAATAAGCAAGTTTTAAAAATGACATATTACTTTATATAAAAAAGTGTGAAGGTACGACAGTTGCAATCATCGATTTTACGTGGTGCCCGACTCGGTTCACACTTGATTTTAATCAATATCTACACTTTTCCTACCAGTTTTGGCCAGAGTTTCGGGTGAAATCTACATTTAAAAATGATTTAATAACGCCTTTCAATCGTCTGCCAATTAGAACTTGCCGTATAAAATATGCAGTAAACAAAAACCTCCTGATACCTAGCACTGAAAGTGAAGGCAACGGAAGTGACGATTTTTAACTAAGTAAAATGTAGAGGCGTCCCGGAATAACGATAACAAGTTTGGAGCGGTTTCTGACCTCCCTAGATTTTCCGAAGATGGCAACTGTCATACCTACACTCTTACTATGTAGAGTTCAGTGATTTTTTTTTATTTTTATGTTTTTGAGTGTATTCATACATACGCACAATTAAAAAAATCATAATACACAAAATACAGCATTTTGAAAACAAGTGCCTATGGAAAAAAGGGGAACTAGCAATGGTGTATTAAAATGATTTTAATTACATTGACTACTAGTATTTGTTTTATTTTCAAAATTTCGAGATAATAGCTGTAAAACTCAGTGTTAAACTCAATCTTCAGAAAATATGAGGAGTTCCGAGTGACAACTTCACATCAAATATAAAAAACCATCTTCACATTAAAATCCACCTTCACATGAAAAACCACCATCAGATAAAATACCACCATCACATGAAAATCCACCTTCACATAAAAAACCACCATCGCATGAAAAACCACCTTCACATAAAAAACCATCATCATATGAAAAACCACCTTCACATGAAAAACCACCATCACATAAAACACCATCATCACATAAAAAACCACCTTCACACGAAAAACCACCATCACATGAAAAACCACTTTCACATAAAATACCACCTTCACATAAAAAACCTTCACATGAAAAAACCACAGCATAACATAATAAAGCACCGTCTTCACATAAAATAACCACAGCATAACATAATAAAGCACCATCTTCACATGAAATAACCACATCATAACATAATAAAGCACCATCTTCTTATGAAATAACCAGATAAGGCAGCTATGGCGTTCCATATGTTTCGTCTATAATTATAATGTCGTCTGTGATGTCCGAGAAGGAAGGTTGGGACTGCACAGTATCATTATTATGTTCTCGTGAAAATAATCATGCTCAGTTTTAATAGAAAATGTCGACCAACGACTTTGTTAACGATGTAAAACTCTATCAAATTTTTCTTGTTGTTTCTTGCTTTTAAAGCCAATACCTCTCCGTTTTTGTTTTATTTCATTCCATATGGAGAAATGGTGTTCATTCTTCTCATTTACATATCGGCCATATTGGAGCTATAAAGGTTTATATAGAGAACGAACAAAAACCCGCAGATTTTATATACTAACTATTTCGGATAAAGTTCTTCCGCCGATATTTAGATTTTTCTTAATATCTTCTACCGGAAATGACAATATTGTTGATGCCAAAGTGAAAGTTGCGACCGCCTTTTTGATTTGAAATTCCGAAGCGAGAGTATAATTAATGTTTTAATGAAGGAAAGAGCACAGAATTGGTGTCTTTATCATTTCTGGTGATTAAATGTAAGTGTTTATTGCAAGTTGACAGAGTTCTTCCGCTGATTAATAGGTGCAGACAAATGCCTATTTTTATGAAATACAGATGATTTATCATTTCATGAAGAGTTACGACCGCCTTTTTAATTTGAAATGGCAATTTCTTGCATCAGTGTGACCTACTTATTACCAAAAAAAAAGATGATTTCATGAGTTGTCAACTGTTAATAACCCAAAATTCTGCCCTAATAACTATGACGGAGGCTTAAAAAACAAAACAAACTGTGCTTGCAGGTTTTAATATAAAAATTTAAAGAAATGGTATATTTCGAGTTTATGCAGGATCTTATGAATATTAATGAGAAGTAAATCACGTGGGAGCAACCTCATGAATAAACTGTACACCATTTCTCCATATGCCAATCTCTATTTTCCTCTTATGAGAACATACCGCAAATGAGTTTAATTTGTTTTCGTAATATTGCAAGGTGATTTAGCAAAAACTTTTATTAATCTTTAACAACGTAATAAAAACAGAGGCATGAAAGTTTTTTATTTATTTCTCTTAAAATTCTAATTATTAATGAATAGCTAATCATTGAACTTTAAAATACAACAGGTATTCCTTATTTTTGCACTTTCAGATGCGCAGAGTGTTTAAAATCGTGACAAATGACATACCTTAAACAGCATAGAACTTCACCAAGACATGCTGAGTCCTATCCACATGACTTAAACGACCCCAGGTTCATCATATTCTATAAAAGGAGGAATCATCTGCCTATATTTGTGATAAAGACAGGTGGTAGCAGATATTAAGGATGATAGTTCTATATCTTAGCTTAATTGGAATAATCTGTGTAAATGCCCTTCCCTACTATAGGGACCGAATTCCTAATGGATACAAAGTATTTAATCCATGTGGTTCCAGCTACTGGGAGGCTGTAGGGCATTACAGTCCCTTTACCCACACCAGTGAGAAAAACCCATTCGCCTTGGTAAGTTACATTCAGCTGAGGCGTAAATTACAAAAATGGGGGGTTATTTCCGTTTAGCTATAAGAAAATCAAGGATAGCTTGGGGAGGACGCGTATTGGCAAGCAAAATAAATAAAGCTAGACAGTAGAAGACAATGGTCAAAATGAAAAAAGGTCAAGATATAGAACATTGATCAATCTCAAAAATTTTTTAAACAAAACAAATTTGTGAACACGACTTAAAACACGGACCCCCCGGAGTTTTCAGAGTAGAGATGGGATCAAGTGCCTCGGAGGAGTAAGCATCCACTGAGGATAGTTTTACATAATTAAATAGTATAAATATCCTTATCATTTGTCGTAACACGTGCACGTTGGAGAAACGATGTAGAAAGTTCAAATACTGGGCTGGTGTAAAAGTGGGTCAGGCTTTAGGGTTCAAATTATTCCAACGTACACGTGCTCTTCAGACTTTAGTAGAAAAGTCTTATTACACTCATTATTGAAGGAGAGTCTGTGTATATTGTCTGTCACAATTTCTTGTTTTCGCTTTACCGCCTACGTTTCTAGATCAAGCCAAAATTGATTTTGCATATTTATAAAATAGATGCGAAACATGATATGCTAAATTCATTAAATCAACCCATGGTAAATTCACTATAGCTTAAATTTAAAAAAAAAAAAAAAACAGAAAAACAAAAACAATTTATAATTAAATTTAACAAGCATTCTGAGTATATTGCATTAGCAATACTAGTCCCCTACCGGCAAGTGTAATCTGGTTCCCGTTAAAAATTGAAAAAATGCCATAATTCCGTCAAAAATCAATGAAGCGGAACGAAATGGAAACTTGATCTATAACTCATCAAGGTAAAGTCACATACCAAAAATCAGCTCAATATCTGCAAGCGTTTAGAAAAAAATTGCGGAAAACCCTGAAAAAAATGAAAAGGTCGTAATTCCGTAAAAAATCATTGAAGCGGAACGAAATGCAAGCTTGATCTGTAACTCATCAAGATACACCCACAAACCAAAAATCAGCTCAATATCTGCAAGCGTTTAAAAAAAAGTGCGGAAAACCAAGTGGGACAGACTGACAGACAGAGGGACAGACAGACGAACGGACAGACTCAGAGGAAACCTATAGTCCCCTCCGGTTTCACCGGTAGGGGACTAATAATCTCTTAGCACAAAGTTAATGAATACTCTGTTGAAGCTACTATAACATTTTTTTTTTTCGAAACCTTGTGGTGCGACGTTCTTATGAAAGTTAAATAATATCCTTAATGAAAAATGTAAATGTAATATTAACCTTATTAAGGCTATAGAAATTACTGTTAGAATCCTCTTTTTTCAGTACAAATTGATTATAATCTTGCTTATATACCAAATAATTACAAACTTTTCTGCATGGAATGTCGGTAGACCGAGGATTTCGATATAATCTCCGTATATTAAATATAATCAGCAGGCCCGTAGGAAGCAATTTCGCTCTGAGGGGGCACAGCCATACATTTTCAGTTGGGGGGGGGGGGCTATCAACAACCAAAATTCCTTGACAAGCAAAAAAAAAATCATCAGATGTTATTATTGAGGGGGCACAAGCATATACTAGTAGTAGCTATGTTTGTTTTCTAATAATAGTATTCTATATATCGGAAAAATTATTGAGGGGGGGGGGCACGGCCCCCCGTGCCCCCCAACCGATTCCTACGGCCATAATCAGCATATATTTCTTACTTTTGCATGCTCCAATTCAATGTTGTTTACAATTTTTACTCTATAAATGAAATCCTTTTGACATAGACAATAACAATGATGCGATAGAAACAAACTTTACTTTTCCGGCACATATATCTGCACTCTGTTTGCTTTACAGTGCAGCTGAGTTCGTAAAAAGTTCGCGTTACTTATATTTTTTGATTTATATGGAAGTCCATTTAGGACCTATCAAAAATTATTTTTTAATTCGATATAAAAAAAATTGTCGAATTGTTTGAACGAATTTAATTCGTTTATAACAATTTCTTGAATTCTTGATAACGAACGAATAACTAATATACCATTTTTTGAATCCATTGAAACAATTCCAAAATGTGTTATAATAAATTTAATTCGTATAATATATGAATTCATAAATTTGATGATAATAACAAATTAAATTCTTTTAAACGAAATCTTAAATAATAATTATGAATCCGATAATTAAAAACGAATGACCGAATTCGTTCAAACGAATTTTATCATTATTACAAATTTTAGAATTCGTTTAAAAGAATTTATTTAAACAAATTTAATTCGTTTTAACACATTTCAGATTTATATAACGAATTAAATCAGTTAAATTTTTTTAAATTTGTTATTACGAATTCAACAAATTTGTAATAAAAGATAATATTCGTTATAACGGTTTTAAAAAAAAAAATGTTATAACGAATTTAAACAAATTGACAATTCGTTATATCGAATTCAAAAATATTTTTGATAGGTCCTAAATTCTTAATACGGGAGAGATATTGTTGTTAGATCTCATTATAACAAGAAAGGATGTCGCTATGACAAGGAAATTATGTAAGTTGTTATCCTTAGGCCAAACAAAAAAATATGTGTGGTTCCGGTTATACCTCCAAAAAAAATTAGGGTAGGTAGGTAGGGATTTTTTTTTTTTTAACAAAATGATTTTCTTTATTTTTCTAAATAATACCTATCACTGCTTTGCAAGTGCATTTAGATGTGGTGTGATAATATACTAGTCAATATTGGTAGGGGACACCTACATGCTAGCTTGCTTTGGATTTAACACTATTAAACACTTGCACTATGTTTTGCAAGGAGGCCGTCATTGCTGAAACTAAAACTTAATTAAACCAGAGCCATTGATGGAAATCGGGGAAAAATATGAAAATTGTCAAAAAAAGTTTAGGGTCGGGGGTATACAATAGGCACGGTCGGGTAACCGGAACCACACATATTTTTTTATTTGGCCTTAGATATTAAGATTTAGGATATATCTACTCTGTAATATTACATATATTTTTTCAACGAGTTAAAATAATATAGGCCTATGTATTTGTGAGTCTTATCAATCAAATGTAAAGGACATACACAAAGTCTACCATATCTGTTTCATGGTTTGATGTTTTACTGACTTATAAGACGTTAATGTCCAACCGACAACTTAACTATATAACAAATGTGACGACATCAGCTTTTCCTTCGTCAACTTTCCTTATTTATGTAGTAATATTTCACTATCACCTACATAAGGTAATTATGTATCCCAGTTCATTCAGTACGCAAGAGCTTGCTTCGAGTACGATTTTTATTTTAACCGAGAAAGTCTACTGACAGTTAAGTTGCTGTTACATAGCTTTCTACAAACTCGTTTAAGGTCAGCATTTCGCAAATTCTGTGGTGGTTTTAATGATCTCGTTTGCAAATTCAACCTATCGTTCACATGTTTCATACAAATTTTTAGGCCATATTTAATACTAATTTTGATTAGGGATTGCTCCATTTACCTGATTAAAACAGAAGGCGATTGTAATTGGTCGACAGGGGATGCTCACTGCTCCTAACCACCTGATCCCTGGCCTCGTTTGGTGTTACCAGGATTTCGTGTTTTTGCCCTGTTCACAATTCTTGTTTTATGAGATCTATCACTGTTCACTATATCTTCACCATTTCATTTTATTTACACAAATTCAACCAGTTGGACAAAGCAAAATTATAAAATCACACGATTATATAATTATGTTCTAGTTAGCTCATACGAATTTATTAGCTCACTTGAGTCACTCGGGTGACCTATTACTATCTGTTTTCGTCCGTCGTCGTGCATCGTCCGTTCGTCGTTAACTTTTGAATATTTTCAGCTTCTTCTCTTGAACCACTGAACCAATTTGAAGGAATTTTAGCATGTAGCATCAATGATAATATCTTTAAGGATGTCCGATCCTTAGCCAGAAAGGATAACTCTTAAATTTATTATTTCATTCAAAGTCTCAAAATGAAGCTTAAAATTAAGATCTTTTCGTGCAACAATTTTCATTTTATGCATCTCAATATGATTCAAAGCTCTTTGAAGTCTTAGAAACGATCTTGTAAAAAGTTGACATTTGTACCCCATAAAAGAAAATAAATTCATTTTTAGAGAAATCAAATTTCCTTTAATCTAGCATTAGATACCAATGATTATTAGCATGATATGAAATTAGGCGTGATATGTGGTGTCTAGCAATGATAACACCAGGTTTTTACACTATGTATTATATAACAATTGAAGTAAAGAGAAGAACTAAAATACTGTATAAGCATAAAAACGATGCAATTTCCTCCAAATACCTGGATACCTATATTTTTTTTTATCCTAAATTATATTTGTTGATCAATTTTCAATTAGAAAATGCTTAGCTGGTGTTTTTATTCGCATTTCCAGAAAATATATTTGAGGTTTGATAATTTTCCCTATACATGTATAATATGATTAACTATAATAATGAACTTTGAAAAAATACCATGGGTAAATTCACGCTACTATGTGAAATCAGAGACATTTTTGTGAGCATTTTCAATTACTAAAAGGCTGATTTTTCAGAACCTGAGGATCGGACTACCTTAAAAATCGTCTTCTTTACTCCTAGATATCAAGCAGTCAAACTGTTGGCATGATTTTAATAAGCATTGAGCCCTTTACCAAAATTGTGAAATTCATGGCCCCAGGGTCAGGAGTTCTGGAGCTAGGGTTGGGCTCTAATGATCATATAGTGAAAATGCACAAATTCTTTAAAAATTTTCTTCTCTCCCCCTGTATATAAAGCAGATAAACTAGGTGTATGGTTATGATGATCAAGGGTGCCTCTTCCAAAATTGTGAAATTTATGACCCTGGGGTGAGGTGTTCTGCAGGAGGGGGCTCTATTGTTTGTTTGTTTGTTTATTGTTTAAAGTCCCTCTCAAGAATTTTTCACTCATATGGAGACGCCATCACTTGCCGGTGGAGAGCTGCAAATTTTGAACTTA